TATAGTAATCAGTTTTTCATTCCCCTTACGGACGTCTCTCTTTGGCTTTAACTATCTGAACTTCCACACATCTCCAGCAACACTAGGTCAAGTTCAAGGCAGATGCAAGTAAGCAGAACCTATCATGATGTTTTGGTCCATGTTGCATCATAATTCATACAGCAACGTCAGTGTCCAGCAATCTCTCTCAGTTATTGCACGGCATCCATAGGAGACAACGGAATTCATGTCTATTTTGCAGATGACTCCAGGAACAAAATCTCTCAGAATCGAAGTTCAAGGTGTAAACTCTATGAATTCTTTTCAGACATGTTGTCTGCTGGCATTATGATGCTTAAGTCAATGGAATGGCACTTCTGTTGGAGGAGGAACAGGTGGCGATTTCTGCTCCAATCCTTCCTCTCATTGCAAAACTTCACTTTGTTCTCATGAATGAAGGTTCCCCTGATACCCAGAAGCATAATTTCAGGAAGCTCAAATGTCAGGGAGCAAGGGTGGGAAGAGACATGAAAGTCCCATTCAATGAGTTTCATTCCACATGCAGATCTTTGGCCCAAACCCATGATCAAAGAACCATGGCATACAAGAGCCTGAAAGATGACACTCTTGTTGTTTTTATAGTCCACTTTGCTCTACCCTAAGGAGTCTCAGAATGGCTTACCATCACCACCCATCCCTTCCTCTCCCCACAACAAGCAACTTGTAAGGTAGGTGAGAGTTCTGAGAGAACTGTGACAGGCCCAAGGTCATCCAGCTGGCTTCATGTGGAGGAGTGGGGAATCAAACCCAGTTCTTCAGATTAGAGTCCGCCACTCTTAACCACTACACCAATTGGTTGATGCCTCATCCATTATCACAGATTAATACAGTTTAGAGCAGATAGTGTATTTCCTGATCTCTTCAGGACGGTTAGGAAGTCAGAACCACCTCTCAGACCTGCGTATTTCTTGCGATCCCATTCCTTCTCTTTTCAGGGCTACACTTCTGCACTAACCATTAGTTACCTCTAAACTAGAGACTGAAAATGGCATCTGACCATGATTTAACCATGGTTAGCATTCAAAGATATAACACTAGCCATTGTTCTTGTTACATGAGTTTGAGAGGCAATTCTAATCTCGTAAACATGTCTAAGAGATTAATGTTTAATGGTGGAATTGCATGATGCCAAGAAACAATTTAATTGATCAAGAAAGGGTACACTGAAACGCAAAAATATTTGGTATTACTTCTGAACACATATTCGAATTCCTAAGGCTACTTATGAACTTCCCTATTGAAAAAGAAAAAGGAGACGGCAAAGGATAATTAATCTAAAAAGTTATCTAGCAAACAAAGCATTTACCTAGTTAATGTGAAACACTGCTCTCAAGCAGACTTCCATCTACCTCTGGTGAAAGCAAAAACACAAAAAGTACTTCTTATGATGTTTAATAATTATGTACTTTTGAAATAAACTCAAAAGTTAGCTTACTTTCCCTTCAGTCTGGCAAATTCACCAGCCTATACAATTAAATGGTCAGGAAAACAAAACCATTGTCTGTGAAATTTACCTCTTGATCTTCAGATTAAAGAAATCTCTATGAGTAACATGACTTTTTGTTTTTCTAAAACCACAAACATGTTTTGAAAACAAATGCTGACACCTGACATTTCTTTGGTACAGTGAGTAGAACCCATTTAAGAAAGAGTTAAAGAAACAAATTACTCTGTAGGGTACCGGTAGTATGGGAAACCAAATACTGTGCAGTGAAGGAAAAGATTCTTGGAGATAAAACTATAATACTTTTGAAGGTTACATGTGAGCCAGAACCCCATGATGACCATTTTAAACCTTTCACATGGCACTTTCTTCCATATGTGCAGTTTATTTGCCATGACCATAGTATCATCTCCACACATTTAAGATGAGCGTGAAGTGCCAGACTTGTGAAACCACAAGTCACTGCACTTATTCACTTACGCTATGACTACAGTCCCATACGCATCAATTTCCTGTTAATCTAAGTGTTGGAAGATTTATACAAATACCCTCTGATCTTATTTTCTGTCCGTTCTACCGCTTTTTTTCCTCTGCTGTTTGCCCATCAATTGAGGTGTCTTCCCATTTCTCCTTTTCTAGGTTTTTGCCAAATCCCTATAGAGGCTGTTCTTTTTTCAGCATATCCCTTTCTCCTCAAACAGTTTAAGAAGAGCTGTACTTTACATCATTGGTGTCAAACGTAAGGCCCGGGGGCTGGATGCGGCCCACCCAGGGTCCTTATGTGGCCCACGAGCAACAAGTGTAAGGGAGGGAACAGGAGACTGCTCATGGGAGAGTGGGTGGAGCCACCCCAATCGTGGCTTCAGCATGGCAGAACCACCTTATCTGCAGTGGTCAAGTAGCAAAGGAGCATCTGCCCAGGGCTGCACCGCCGGCTGTCCAGTCAGCCCATGTGGGTTCTCCTTTGCACCCCCCCTCCCAGACCATGAGGCCTTGTAGTGAGGAGACACCAACTCGGAGCTTACCAGCTGCTGTCCATACAGTTTATACCCCCGGTACCAGGCATTACATTTTATGGCACACATGGCCTGGCCCAACAAGGTGACGTTTATGTCAGACCTGGCCCTTCTAGCAAATGAGTTTGACACCTCTGCTTTACATGGCTGTTGTAAGATTTGGGTGAGAAATGCCTTGATCACCAAAGGTCTGACGTAAATGGTAGTGGAGAAGAACACGGAAGCACCAAGACAGCCCCATTTATAAAACTTTGTTTCCCAGGGGCCAAACGTCTCGTGCTCCAAGAGAAACCCCAGTAGGTAGACAATATAAAAGAACACATATGGGTGTCTGGCCTCACAATGGTTACCCAGGAGAAAAAGCAATGATCCCACCAATGTCCCTCCCCCATCACTTATAGAAAATATTTAAACAAATGCTGTGCCAGTGTGGTGTGGTGGTTAAAGTGTGGGACTAGCATCTGGGAAACCTGAGTTCAAATCCTGACTCTAGCATTAAACCTGCTAAGTCAGTCAATCATTCAGCCTTGAACAGGGCATATTAGGCCACACCCCTGACAACACAGCTCATTAGCATATTAGACCGCACCCTCATGTTACCAGAAGTGTGGTCATCCAGCCACACCAACCTTTTGCTTCTTATTCTGTTTACCTTGTTTGTTGTCAAAACCCAGAGCTTTTTTTTGTAGCAGGAACTTCTTTGCATGTTAGGCCACACACCCCTAATGTAGCCAATCCTAATGAGTTTCTGCTGTTGGGTGTGGCCTATTATGCTAATGAGTTCCTGCTGGGTGTGGCCAACTCAGGAGCCAGCCAGAACTCCGTTCCTGTGCGTTCCTGCCCAAAAATAGCCCTGGCCTTGAATATCTCTTAGGGTTGTTGCAAAGATAAAATGGGGAAGAGATTCATGGTTACGCCCCTGAACTCCATAGAGAAAAGGTGGGATAAGAGTGTGGTGAACATGAAAATGAGCAGATGCACACAGTTCAGTTTCTATGGAAATTTTTTCCATTGCGTCAAACAGCCCAGTAAATGCAGCATATCTAATTAAATAGCCATAAAAAATGGCCACAGATAAAAAGATGTGTAACTGCGTCTAATTACAGCTACATTTTAAAACAATACAGATTAAACAGATTATTTTATAATACCTTGTAGTTATGGATACATGCCAATGGCATATAAACTGGTGCTTAAAGTTGGTCTCCATATACAAACTATTACAAAAATTTTCTACTAGTTCATATTCTATTTTCAAGGAGGAAGAGATAAGTGGTAGGAGACAGCTGGGCTTGTTCAGAAGTTCCTGGTTTGACTGCAGTGTTCGGGAAAGCAGTCTCTCCTTCTGTTCATTACAGAAACCTGATTGGCAAGTCCACTGTCCTGAACAGTATCTGCTCTCCATCCTTTACTACAGACAAGTGGGAACAGTGGTGGCGGGACACATGCACTGTTCCCTCTAAGCTGAGTTAGTGTGAGCTAGCTCACAGTTTTTTAGCCTCCGGCTCACACATTTTTGTCTTCGCTCAGGAAGGATGGCTCCAGAGCTAACTAATTTATGCAGCAGCCAAATCGCTTGCTCACAACTTTAATGCCAGCAGCTCACAGAGTAGAATTTTTGCTCACAGGACTCCACAGCTTAGAGGGAACATTGGACACATGTGCATTCTTTTTCATTTGCAGCCTGCTCTCCTTGGAAAATCTGCCCATAAATGTGAAGAGCCTTACCTCTCTTTCAGCAGTCAGATGAGATTGCAAAACTGAGGGTTTTAGGGTATTTGAGATTCTTTGACAGTCTTGAATTTGTATATGTAGAAAAGTGGTTTTAATTAATTGTCATGTACCTTAGGACCCTCTATTAAGTAGAAAAGTGGATTGTACATATTTAAAATAAATAAATAAAATACTGCTTATCTCTTTGCCTACGTTGATTATATGGGTAAGATAGGGAGACTGTTAAGGAAAAACAAAGACCTTCTCAACTTCAAAAAGAAAATAAAAGAATGTGAAGAACAGTCGCTGTTATAAGACTTTTACCCTTAATGAGGGTTAGATGTATACTCTTGAGTACACAATTTTAACTTCTGCACTGAAGGATCAATGAGCCACACATAGCTCAAGCTGATGCTAGTTCTAGCAAATTCAGTACCCCTCCCTTCCAATATAAGTAGTTTGTTTCTTTGGCAGATTTAACAACCAGATTCTAGTCAAGTACACTAGAACACCATCTATTATTCCAAGCGAGAGTGAGAGGGCTGGCATGTCTTATATCTGGACGAATGAAGGACAGAGGGATTTCAGCCAGGCAAACTGCAAAGAAAGCAAATACTTCTGTCTCTTCACACGCTGCCCAACTACCTTGTGGTGAAAATCTTAAATCACCAATAGTGTCAGCCAACACTTTAAATAATGCTGATTTCAGTAAGAGAAACATGCCAATGCAGTATATTCATCTATTTATATACATGGGAATGTTCAATCTGAATAGAAACACTACTTACAGTTGCATGTGATATTGTCAGAATGCCATTTTTGACAGTGCATTTTCTTCTTTGCCATACTTTTCTTAGCCTAAACATTAAATAAAGGGACAATAAACCATATTTCATAAGCCATAGTTAAGAGTCATGTTTGTTAACCTCCTCTGAACATATTAAACATACTGGTTCTATGACAGGTTCTAAAGAAACATAGTACATTTATGCTCATTGGCATACATTAGGGTCAATCATGATTTTTTACTAGGATGGGTTTTGTGGCCAAATGTATACCTCTCCCTGAATTTTTTCGAATCAACACCTGATCGATGGGTGTTTTGAGGGTGGGTTTATATGCTGGGGGTGTGTTCCCCATTCCGCCTATAAAATCTATGCATTTTTAAAAACCATAACATTTAGGAATTCTAGAAAAGGTACACCTATGCGTTGCAATATAGAAAATAACTCCTTTAAAACTAGCCTGCATTTTAAACAGCATTTTAAAGCTTTTTAATGTTCCAACAAAAACAGCTTTTTGTTGTTTCTATATTTCTCTACTATTCCCCTATCAGATTCACTAAACTACAAGCGTCTAAATTTAATGTTTCCCTGATAGTTGCAGACACATAGGAAATGGGGAGCAGCAACATCCCCTTTTATCCATAGGTTCCGCTGCTCTAATTTCCACAAAATTAGACAGAAACTGGAGAGAGTGAAACTACAGGAACAGGAAGTTGGGGGAATCAGCTCATTCCCAGTATAAATATACACATACTTCAACTACATATACACCTTGTTCTGTCTTTCTTTTGTTTTTTGTTTGGTTATTGTATACTGAGATACCTGGCGAAATGAGCTTTGATTCATAAAAGCTCATCAACTCAAAATCTTGTTGGTCTCTAAGGTGCTACTGGATTTGAATCTAGCTGTTCAGTTAAGCTGAAATCAAGACTGTTCTCCTTCACTTCTTATAGAGTTTATTTCAAGACAATCCCATTCCAAGGATATGCAATAGCTGCACATCTGTTTGTTTTTAAATAATTTAGTTAAGCTAAATTCAAGACTGTTCTCCTTCATTTCTTATAGAGTTTATTTCAAAACAATCCCATTCCAAGGATATGCAATGGCTGCACATCTGTTTGTTTTTAAATAATTTTTAATTGCTTTTATACTACACACTACATAGAAACAAAGGGTGGGTATACACTAACAAAACTACAGGTGATAGGACAGCATTACTAAAAGAAAAGCTAACAGGAGTTATATATACTGTTGATAATAAACGCTTATTCAAGTTTCTCATATTGTCATACATGAGTAAAGCTTCTTATCAGTTTATAACATTAAGTAAAAGATTAAAGTATAAGTATTTGCTCTGAGCAAGTAAGCAAGTTATTTATCCCTTCAAGTACTTATATCTCAGTTATATTCTCTTTATCTTTATCAAAGTCAGTTTTCCCTTTGGGTAACTTGGTTGCAGCTTCTCCCAATTCTGATGGGGAATCTTCTTCAGATGAACTGGTTGTAATCGATCCTGAACTTCTTGAACCATGTGAGCTGCATTCTCCTTCTTGATGACTCTTCTCTTCTTCTGTTGTTGTTCCCTTTGGTAGTCCTTGAACTTTCTCCAAAAATCGTTTTGCTTTGTCCACGGAGTCAATCTTTTCTTTTAAATCCTTGTACTTGAATGTTAATCCTTCCGGTAAAAGCCATCTGTAGTTTATTGATTTCTTTTGTAAAAATACAGTTAAATCTTTGTAATGCCTTCGCTTCTTTCTGATTACAAATGGTACATCCTTTAGAACTCTTATTTCCAAATCTTTAATCTTCAAGATGTTTCCATTAGCAGCTTTAAGAACCGTGTCTTTTGTAGACCTTTTCGAGAAACTGACCATACTTTCCCCAAGCAGGTTTTTCTTCTTTATGTATTCATGGTATGATCTGTAGATCACATCCAGATCGCTTAATAAATCTTCAAATTTCATACCTGTCATTGAGGATAATGCTTGAGTCAAGATTTCTTTGAGATTCTCATCGCTTTGTTCAGGAACACCTTGGAACCTCAGCACATAGGCTGCTTTTTCTGCTTTAAGCCTAAGGATTTGTTCTTTATCAGAGGCTCTTTCTTTTTGTAATCACTCCACTTTTTGATCAAGTGCAGATGTTTTAAAAACAACTTTTTTGACTGCATTATAGTTCTTTACCATCTGTTTTTGGAGTGTTTCAAAGTTTTGGTTGAGATTCGTCATTTGGTCCAGCAGGGGTCACAATGCTACAACTAACATGGCTAAAAAGGCTGTACTGGCTTCCGGTTTCAATCCTGGAGATGACGTTTGGCCAGCACCTAAAGGAAGCTTCCTCAGCGCCATTTTTTTTCCTGTCGACTCATTGTTTTCTTTTCCCGGGAAGTTTGTAAAAGTTCTTAAGAGGGGTTTTTGTTGTTCGCTTTATGTGGCGATGCACTTGCTAATTCAAATAACGTTTTTCCGGACTCTTTTCCCCATTCCGGTAAGGCTTTTAATTAAAATTTCATTTTTGTTGGGTAAGGATATTGCTCCCTCCCCCTATCGCTGGTGAAGGGGGGTATCAGAGCCAGTTTAAAAGGTCATGCGCTTATTGCAAATTCACTCACATTTCTTCAGTATCGTTAAATTGCCAAGATGTCTTGCATCCTCGCTAAAACTCCTGAACGCTCGTCCAGTGTGCGCCTCTAAGTACCATGATGGCGCTGCAGTAGTAGGACCTTCAGGGCAAAGTGTGCCTCAATCCCTTGGCATCACGCCTTGGGAGCAGCACTACTCGAGCCCCATGGCTGGGGGCCCCTCTATGGGGGCCCCCTGGGGGAACCGGCACTGCCGGATCCCCTCCTAGCCACTGCGGGACAGGCCGCACCGTATGGAACTCACTGGTGCACGTGCCCGCTGGGTGAGGAGCTGAAACCAGTTATCGCTGCACGTCTGTTTTGATGTGCACTGGGTAGCACTGAGGGAGGGAAAACTGGATTATTTTTTCTTCAATATTTCAAAATTCACGTTTCTTCAGAAAAGCCATTAGACTTAAAATTCAATATTTCAAAATTCACATGTTTCTTCAGAAAAGCCATTAGACTTAAAACTTTCGACAGTGCATTTCTTGAAGGACAAAGTGCTCAGCTAGTTACCACTTTTTCAATATTGCAGCTTGGCTTATCTGCCCTTTATTCATGTAAGTGGAAATCCCACATGCAGTTATGTATAAGGAAGTCCCATGGCTTTCAGTGAAAGTTTACACAGGTGGAGGAGGAAAGCCAATCTTAAAAAAAACAGAAGCAGGGACTAAGGTTGGGGGGGAGGTTTGGCCACCAAGTTGCAGCTGACTTATGGTGACTCTGTTGGGTTTTCAAGGCAAGAGGCGTTCAGAGGTGGTTTGCCATTGCTCTTCCTCCATGCCATGACCCTGGTATTCCTTGGTGGTCTCCAATTCAAATACTGATGAGGACTTGACCCTGCTTAGCTTCTGAGATCTGACGAGATCGGGCTAGCCTGGGCTTATCCAGGTCAGAGCAAGTACTAAGATTAGATTTATGCAAATATAAAAGCACAATTTTAATTGCACAAGTTAAGTCTTTACAGGGACATAGATCATAATGGCCTAGCAGAATAGAATTTTCAATTTTGCCATAAAATCTTGGAAAGATATGCATCATTATCTACAGATATATCCATTACTTCCATACACTCATACAGACACAGAAAAGTAAAAAAATATTTTACAAACACATCAATATCTAACAACCACAGAATAATAAGTGTTTGACTTGTTCAGTATCCTATTTATATAATTGTAAATATTCCCATCAGATCTCGGAAGCTAAGCAGGATTGGTACTTGTATTTGTATGGGAGACTACCAAGCAAGACTTTTGCAAAGGAAGGCGATGGCCAACTGCCTCTGCTTAACCACTTGCCTTGAAAACCCTATAGGGTCACCATAAGTCAGCTGCAACTTGACGGAACTTTAGACACACACAAATACTCCTACACAAAACCTAGCTCAGAGCAAGGTATAAATTCATTGGGGAAGCAATATAAGTTTATCATAGCATATTTTGCATTTATGCACATACTAGAAATAATGCCCGTTGCGGAAATAAATACAACGGGATCTAGAAAGAGGCTCTGGGAGAGTGCTCTGGCTTTGGGCAAACAGTGTCAGTTTCCTGTGGCGACCTCAGCAGGGTTTAATGACAGAGTCCACTGTTTTCTCCAGAGGGACTGATCTCTGCTACCTGAAGAGCATTTGTATGTTTGAGTTATCTGTAGCCCTCACCTGGAGAGTGGTAACCATTGTTACCCATTCTCCTCTCCCCTATGAGGTATGTTATGCAACTGAAAATCCCAACTGCCTTGCGGGGGGGGGGAGTTTGAGGTGTGGAATGGACTGAAGTCCAATCAGCTTCCATATGCAAAAGACCAGGTTGTCGCAGCAGTTGTGGTGTGGGCGGGACCCGGGCTTTGCCTTCTGATTGGTGGCGATATATGCTGAGGAGCAGTGCCATCAGCCATACACTAAGGGAGTGCATTTTAGAATTAGAACTTTGGCACCCACTATTCAATTATATATAAGGAGATATTGAATTTTTATAAAGATGTTGACTTCAAATGCTGAAGTAGTTACCAATACATGTCTTCCCTAGAGAGGTTTTTTACTAGTTTTTATATGTAATTGAATCATGGAAGGCCTTATGAGCTAAATTAGAGTGGATTGCAGGATCGATCCGTGACACGAAACAAATTCATCACCTGTTTAACAGTAATAGGTAGTTCCCTGCTTATTATTATACTTTTTCTAAAGTACATACCCGTCACTTTTCTTTAAAAGATATCCTTTCTTCTCACTGCCATATTCCTTATTTCCCTGAAGCTGATGCATGCTGTAGCCTCCTTGCCTGCTCTGCGAATCCTAGAAACAAAGAAACATTTTTTTTCCCTTTTCCAAATCTTTTTTAGAAGACCCTGCTTTGCATAAAGCTCCCACCTCATTATACGAATCTTTTTGAGCAGTAAAAGAAATCAAGGCATATTGGGAAAAGATGATGAAGGCTTTAAATGAGAATGATGGGATATTGTAATAAAAAATAAAATGACAGAATTTGGGGAAAACAGTCAACAGAAATAAGTAAGCTATACATGCAGCATGAAATGTACACGGTCGCCTTATTTATTTAGGTTTACTACAATAAGCTACTGGGTTTAGTTTATGGTTTTAAAAAAAATGGAATGTAATCCCATATACATGTGTGAGCGGGCCTATGCAGCATGTGAATATGTACATACGGAAAGATGGAAACACAGAGTAACACTTGATGAAAGAATGCAGCAACTAAACGGCCTGCAAATTCATTATAAAAGCAATGACTCATTAAAGCATTGACTTACTCTCCTAGACTTCGATCAGGAAAGGCAAAGGCAACATAGGAAGAAAAAAGTAGAACATTTTAAGACAGCATTATTTGATAATAGAGGAACATTCTTGCTCATTTTGCAGCCTCTTCAATTACACCATTTACACTGTAGCAACATCAAGTAATAATAGCAGCAAGGAACAGGCATGCTTGGACAGTCCATGGTCACTGCATGCTGGGTAATGGGCTGCATTTTACATCACTCCTTTTTGGAAAGGGGGGGAAGAGGAAGGGCCAGTGATGGCAAATAATGAATGATAACCATTTGGCAGCATGAATTGTTTTGATGTAACTGTCCCTGTTTCTGAATCTGGGATTCCCTGCCCCGCCAGCTAATGCCTAACACCTGTAACTGTACTGTTTACCCTTTCCCCTTTTTAAATATTTGCAATTTAAGTAGCAAAACAGGGACCACAAATAAAATTTTCCACCTTACCTATCGAAGTGCCGTCAAGTCACAACTGACTTATGGCAACTCCAGCAAGGGGCTTTCAAGGCACTTGGGAAGCAGAAGGGTTAGCACCTTATAAAAGACTAAACAGTTTGATCGTTTCGTGAGTCAGAGCTCATTTCCTCAAGTGCACAGAAATGTACGTCTACATCTATCAGGCTGTGTTAAATACTGAGGAGTGGGAAGAAGGCGGTGTATAACAAGATCTAATCAAAAGAGAAATCTGTTCACCTAGAATAGGTGTGAGATATTATAACCACCAAAAACAGATCAGAATGAAATCCTGTCTAAAGCTTACTGTATTGCTGGGGAGCTGAGCTCTGACTCATGAAAGCTCATGCTGAAGTAAATTTTGTTAGTCTTTAACAGGGTTGCCAAGTGGATTTTCGCTGAGAGCGGGGGGTTCCCGGCCGGCGTCTGGCGCGCGCACCGCATGCACGTCACCCGGAAGTGAGGGGAAGACGCCAGGCACACTGGGGGCGGGGCCACGGCCATCCAAGGGAAAACCATAGAGTTTTCCCTTGGATGGCTGTAGCCCCGCCCCCAGCGTGCCTGGCGTCCTCCCGTTACCTCCGGGTGACGCGCACATCGGGGCGGAGTTCCCCCGGGGCCCGATCCAGTGCCGCCGGGGAACGGGCCTCTCCCCCCAGGGGGACTTGGGATCCCTATCAAGGAGTCATGAAATGCAGGAAGTAGATATGAAATGCAATTTTGTAATATTTAAGATCTAGTTAAGAAAAATGCAGAAACCATTCACTGTCTAACATAGTTAAGATGTGTAATGGGTGGGAAATCACAAGTTTTGTTAAGGTAGTCACAGTTTTAAATAAATTCCTAAATTCTTCCTCAGCTGGGGGAGAGATAGTATGGAACCTTTGAATGGAAAACACGGTCCATTTGCAGCCAACTTATGGCAACCCTTTAGGGTTTTCAGGGCAAGAGATGAACAGTGGTGATTTGCCATTGCCTGCCTCTGTATGGTCCTCTGGACTTCCTGGGTCTCCCATCTAAGTACTAACTAGGGCTGCCCAACTTAATTTCCAAGATCTGACAAGATCAGGCTAGCCTGGCCCACCCAGGTCAGGGCAATCTTTGAATAAAAGGATTCAAATTAAAAGTATGACTATCTTAAAAAATCATGTGACTCCCTACATTTTGCCAAAATTGTTGATTTTAAAATGACCAGCTTTAGTCACATAAGATTAGAATTCTACAGAAGGCACATGACAAATTCTAAGTGTAGAAAGTATTTATATTACTTTTACGAACATGACTGATAAAGTCAATACTGTACAAAAATACATCAAGATAATTTTCGTACTTTAATACACACATTCTGATTATTAGAATTCTTAAAAACAATATTCTATCCTGATAAGATTTCCTCTCTGGAAAGTCAATACTGCTATTTTGGTTTTAGCTTCAGGTGTTCGTTTTTTAAAAAAAAAATCCTGACATGAACTTCTCACTCTCCTTCCAGCTAAGAAAACATATGTGCACGCAACTATTATATTCATTGTGATGATCGATACCTCAGGCACAAATAACTATAGTATTTAAAATATTACAGAGTTCAAACACTGATTAGCCACCTTTCCACCTTACAGGAACTTAAGGCAGCAGGTGGAAGAGGGAAATGGGAAATCTGGGCCAGCTGAAGAAGAACAGATAAACCTTTTCCCGTCCCTCTTCTCCAGGTATTTCAAGCCTATCACATGTCAGAGGGACAAGCCAAAAGGCTCTTAGAATCATAGAGTGTGAGAGTTGGAAGGGACCTTCCAGGTCATCTAGTCCAACCCCCTGCACTCTGCAGGAGTATACTGAAAGATAGCCCTACATACCTACAACATACCCGAAAGATGGTTGTCCAGCCTCTGCTTGAAAACGTCCAGCGATGGAGCATCCCCCACCTCCCGAGGCAGACTGTTCCACTTCTCAACCACTCTAACGGTTAGGAAGTTTCTCCTGATATTTAGCCGGTAACGACTCCCTTGTAATTTCCACCCATTAGATCTAGTCTTGCAATCCGGAGCAAAACAGAATAGATCTGCTCCATCTTCTACATGACAGCCCTTCAAATACTTGAACACTGCAATCCTGTCCCCTCTAAGCCTTCTCTTTCCCAGGCTAAACAGACCCAACTCTTTCAGCCTTTCCTCATAAGACTTGGATTCCAACCCTCTCACCATCCTGGTTGCCCTCTTCTGGACACGCTTGAGCTTGTCAACATCCTTCCTAAAATGTGGTGCCCAAAACTGGACACAGGACTCCAGGTGGGGCCGGACCATAGCAGAACAGAGTGGAACCACCACCTCCCGTGATCTGGACACAAGACTGTTAATGCATCCTAAGATTGCATTAGCTTTCTTCGAAGCCACATTGTACTCTAGCCTCATGTTTAGCTTGTGATCAACCAGAACACCTAGATCCCTTTCACATGTGCTGCTGTCAAGCCACGTCCCTCCCATTCTATATCTGTGCCTTTGATTTTTTTGTACCTAAGTGTAGGACTTTGCACTTATCTCTATTGAAATTCATTTTATTTGTCTCAGCCCACTGCTCCAGCCTATCTAGAGCATTTTGAATCCTGACTCTTCATCATGTTACATGTTAATTTGCTGTTCAGCCCGTCTATAAGTTTGAACTTTACCTACCTTTCCAGTGTATTTGAAAAAGGGTGCATGCCCACAAAACCTCATACCTTGAATAAAACTTTGTTGGTCTTAAAGGAGCCACTGGACTCAAAATTTGTTCTACTGCTTCAGACCAACACGCTACCCACCTGGCTCTTATTTCTGAGTAGATATACATAGGATTGTTCTGTAACAATATGGTCTTATTGCTATAAGTGAGGTTCCTTTAAATTGATAGTGTGGGATAAAAATATTATAAACAAAAGGCTAAAAGTATGTCCTGGTCCCATAATTCCTTGGTCTTCCCCCCACCCTGGCTTCCAGGCTATGTGCTGCTGTCAAGCCAAATCCCTCCCATTCTATATCTATGCCTTTGATTTTTTTGTACCTAAGTGTAGGACTTTGCACTTATCTCTATTGAAATTCATTTTATTTGTCTCAGCCCCACTGTTCCAGCCTATCTAGATCATTTTGAACCATCTAGAACCATTTTGAATCCTGACTCTGTCTTCTTCAGAATTAGCAATCCCACCTAACTTTGTGTCATCTGCAAATTTGATAAGCATCCCCTCTACCTCCAGGTCATTTATAAAAACATTGAACAACACTGGGCCTAGGACCGAGCCCTGTGGCACTCCACTCGAGACTTCCCTCCACGTAGACGCAGAGCCATTTACGAGCACTCGTTGGGTACGATTTTTCAACCAACCACGAATCCATCTAACAGTTGCACCATCTAGCCCACACTTAACCAGCTTATCCTCAAGGATATCATGAGAAACTTTGTTGAATGCTTTACTAAAATCTAGATACACTATATCCACAGCATTGCCAGAGTCAACCATTTTGGTAACTCTATCAAAAAGGAGATAAGGTTGATCTGGCATGACTTATTCTCGACCTCTCACTCTTCATCTGTGACCCTGCATAGCCTTAAGGACTCTGGATATCTTCTCAGGATTTGGAAAGATGTAGGAGAAAGGAATCTGTCTGCCAGCCCAGACATTACCATTGTCAACTCTGAGTTAGTAAATACCTGGGGTTAAAACCTGGGGTGGGGGCTTGAGGAGGGGCTAGACCTCACTGCAACAGAGTCCATCCTCCAAAGCAGTCATTTTTCTGCGGGGGAACTGATCTCTGTAATCTGGAGATCAGTTTTAATTCCAAGAGATCTCCAGCTACCAACTGAAACATGGCAACCTTACCAGAAAGCAAATGCCTGGATTCTTCCCATGCCACCCATTTCCAGAATGTGTGTGTGTGTAGTGATGTGTTTTATACAAGTCTCAAAACTGTTCTGAGTCTGCATGTTGCAGAGAAAGTGTATGTATAAATATAAATAATGTGACAACGTTGTTGTTGTTCAGTCGCACATTCGAGTCCGACTCTTTGCGACCCCATGGACCAGATCACGCCAGCCCTTCCTGTCTTCCGCCGTCCTCTGAAGTTGGCTCAATTTCGTGTTCGTTGCATCTATGACACTGTCTAACCATCTCATCCTTTGCCGTCCCCGTCTTCTTTGACCTTCAATCTTTCCCAGCATCAGGGTCTTCTCCAGTGAGTGCTCCCTTCTCATTTGGTGGCCAAAGTATTTGAGCTTCAGTTTCATTATCTGGCCTTCCAGGGAACAGTCAGGGTTGATTTCTTTTAGGATTGACTGATTTGATCTTCTTGCAGTCCAAGGGACTCTCAGGAGTCTTCTCCAGCACTATTGTTCAAAAGAATCTAATCTTTGGCGCTCGGCCTTCCTTATAGTCCAACTCTCGCAGCCATACATGACAATGTTAACTGATAGTTAAAGGAAGGAGCTCTTAAAAATATAATTTCAAATCAGCTAAGGAATAATCTAGCTATTCTGCTATTTTATATGCCCAGGGTCCAGACATTCTCTTATGTGCATGCAAATTCACCAGACTTCTCCCCTTTTTTGTGCAAGCTTCACTTTAATGCACTGCAATGGAGGTCAGCAGATGAGGAGGAGGAGATTGGATTTATACCCCGCCCTTCACTACCCAAAGGTGTCTCAGAGCGGCTTACAAACTCCTTTCCCTTCCCCTCCCCACAACAGACACCCTGTGAGGTAGGTGGGGCTGAGAGAGCTCTTGACAGAAACGGCTCTTTTCAAGAACAGCTCTTATCAGAACTATGGCTTGCCCAAGGTCATCCAGCCAGGTGCAAGTGGAGGAGTGGGGAATCAAACCCAGTTCTCCCAGATTAGAATCCGCGCACTTAACCACTACAACAAAGCAGAACCATCTTCAAGAAGTAGGTCACAGAAGCACCACTGTACATAAAGTGCTGTCCACATGGCCCTTTGGAACCTGATATATGTGCATGTTACTAAAAAGGTTGTTTTATAAAAATATACAATTTTGGAATATTGAGGTTTTTAATGATTTTAAAAAGTACGACCAGAACGTATTCTACTGAAACTTCCCTGCCAGTTGTTCTTTGAACTCACAAATTACAGTCATCCAGACCTCCTCCCTGTGCTGTTCCTGGGGGACCCCTTACCCTCAGGAACAGCATTTTGGGCTGCAGTGAGCAGGGGAGGTAGAGAAGTCCCACTCTGCAGACAGAAATCTCCTCCATCTGTGGAAAACCCCAGGGAACTGAAGCCCTTGATGGCTACTTTAGATAAAATAATATTAAAATATTATATTGTAGATAAAAATATATTATATGAAGAGTATTATTAAAACATTATATGATAGCTAAAACACACCCTAATTATGCTAATTTATAAAGGTTAGAGAAACTTCAGCTTCTGACTACGAAATGTACATAATTATGTTCGTTAATGCAAGACTGGGGACAGATATTTGCTAGCTTCTCTTCAAGGTACAATTTTTATGGTTTACTAAGCAGAGCATCTGCTACAACTATAATTAGAAATTTATTTCCTACAGAACCAAGCAATATGCATTTCAGATATTCTAAAAGGTGCCTTTTAAAGAAAGACATTATGTAGCACATTTTATTACTAATTGGAATCAAACACAAAAGTTAGCTTGTCATCTTACTTTCTATGTTAACATTTCAGTTGATGTCATATCGGAACTAAAGTGCAGAAGTTTACATCAATGCTTTTTGCCGGAGGCAATTTTTTCATGTTCCTTCCAGATTACTTGCAACATAACAATGTACCCAAATAACATCAGGAGACCCAACCTGTTTTTAAGAGCTACACACTGTAACTGGCTTAATGAGTAGATCAATCAACTAAGAAGCATTTCAAAAGGTATACAGACATCTTAATTGGCAGAGCTACAAGTTAAAGCAGTTAATTTTTTTTAAGGCTACAATAAAATTCTGGTCTGTGACATTCTTTTTCCTCCAACAATGGTAGCTTTTGCTTGTTAGATTCCATTAGTTCACACTTCCTTCAATATCTCATGGTGGCACATGTACTGGGGTTTTGAAAAAGAGTCAATTTATTAAAAAGCAACTAACTAGTTAAAAGAATTTTCGGGGGGGGGGATCAGCAATCATGAGATGACCAAGGAACAAGAGAGAGCTCTCCGTGTCCTCCCCCTCTTCTTCCCCACCTTCCCATTGCAGCTTTTTCTCTCTTCTTCCTTGATGCTTTCTCAGCAGCCAGAGGCTTGGGACAGAGGGCATGCAGGAGGCAGAATGGAAAGTGTATCCCGTTCACTCTGCGCTCCAAAGCCGCCGCCACTGCTGCTGGGGGGGGGGGGGCTGGAGGGGAAAGCACCTCTGATCCATATACCCCCATCAGCTGGGTACTGCATGGAGAGGCTTGGAGAAGAGGGGTAGACAGTTTGCATGAAGCAATAAGACTGGAGCAGAGAGCCTTTTCCCACCCCAACTTCCCCCTTGGAGCCACAGTTCATCTCTTCCCTATCTCTTCCCCATTTCCCCTTCCTAGCAGGGCTCCGTCTCTCTTTCATCATACTTGCCCTCATTCCCTCTCTCTTTTACTGGCATAGTTGCTCTCTCTCTCTCCCTATCGTTTCTTGTCCCAGCCGTCTATCACACTTCTGCTGCCACACTGTAGCATTTCTTGACGGGGTTGCTAGGCAACCCATAATGATGGCTGAGATCTTGAAATATTATACTGCAGGGTCTCTTTTTTAAAAAACTTTTACATCTTTTCCACCTCTTTTGTCTAACTTTTGCAATCCTGGAAGTTTCCTGAAAAATCCTTGTTCTCTGTACGTGGCCCTAATGTGTGGATTTAATAATCCACATCTGAGGCCATTTTCTGAATTAGATATAATGATGCCGGCAACTGGTGAGAACATGCAAAAAAAAAGAGGATCATAACACCTGAATCAGGTCTTTGCCCAACCATGCTGAACGCAGTCCACTGGCTATTCACTGTGATCTGCTCAACAGCACCCTCTCCCCATTTTTAGTGTTAGACAACATGTGAGCTGCATCCTTGGTGCATCTGATGCCTATATTTCACTCAGTGGGTGCGTTCAGACGTGGGCTTTATATCGGTTAGGGTGCCGGTTCCAATCGTTGTACTTACCGGCGTTCAGACGGGGCACATCTGCATCCTGTCCCTAACCGGTGTAAAGCCCTTTACACCGTTGCACTCTGCCACTAGGTCCCAAGTGGTGGTATATTGAGTGCAACGGTGGTAAACGGTGCACCCCGGCGTCTGATCGCTCTCCACCGGTGCCTAGCCATTTCCGTCGGAAGCCTGAGGCTTCCGGCTTTCCCCCCGGTCTATCGATAGTCCTCTAATCCAGCCGTAAATCTTCTAATATCTGTGCTCATCCACATAGTCGAATAGTCTCTAACATGACCCTCTGCCCAGTTCTTAGAATGATTACGGTACCAGTCACCTCTTCTTTGCCGTCGGAGCGCCAGCAACACGCCGAACCTCTCCCAAGGGATCCGCAAGATGGAGGTAAGTGTGATCGCGTTTCTGCCGGCATAAACTGCACCGGTTCCAACCGGTGCAGTTTATGCCGGCAGAAAGGCCCCGTCTGAACGCACCCAGTGAGACACAAATGGTCAGGCCTGCCTGTACACAGTTGTTTTAGTTCAAGAGATGATGAGCTTGTCTTATCTCCTTTGCAATCAATTTATTTTCTATCTTATCCATATTTAGGGATCAAATTAGGTCATACCACATATCCTGACAAATGGAAAGGACAATTGCCATTAAAGTCCCAGAAATTTAAACCTAACCCCAGCTACCAAAACTCAGTCAGACCACATAAAAATGTCGGCTAGAACTCCCAAGATATTCTGTTGCAATATTCCCTTGAGGACTAGAGTCAGAGGCATTGTGACAGGACCCAGAAGAAGCAGCACACACCTCTAGTGATTTTTCTTAAGCAGCAATAAACTTTTCTTACTAACATGGTTGTTGGCAAATGTCACTGTCAGAAGGGCTAATGTATGAAACAGCCCTTCTAAATTCAAATTAAAACTCTTAGCCACTAAGCTTGAATAATTCTACCAATATACTCTATGTACTGAAAGGGCCCAATTTTAAAAATGTGCAGTTGTGGCACTACTGGGAATGAAACATTATTTATGGTGAACATTTTATTGAGCAGTGTTAGATCCGCAAACCAAGCATAATTTTTATGTGAAGGCACTTGTTGCCCTATTGTAAGCCGCCCTGAGCCTGCTTGCGGGGAGGGCGGGGTAGAAATATAAGGATAAAAAAATAAAAATAAATAATCTTGCATTAAAACGTCCGCATAAGCAACATGTATTACACACTAATAAACATCACACATATGGCAAGGGGACATGGTCAACCTAAATTACATATCCCTAACATATCCATAGTTGAAAGCACATGCTTATCGAGTGTGTACACTATAACTGTAAAACATTTTAAGTGTATCCCTTTAAAATGTGTAAACTGGCACATAAACTTTCTGCTTTAGATTCTTACCTCCTTCTGATCAAGCTGTAGTGAGGATTTTATCAAGTCTCTGAGTGCAGTGAGCTGCTTCTTTTCTTCATCCTGTGTCTGCTTTATCTAGAGAGGCAAAACCATACCTATTTATCTTAATATTCTAAAGCTCTACTCATATTTAAACAATATATATATATCATGAAGTTAAACGACAGTTATCAATTGACCATTATGATAGATTCAGGTGGGTAGCTGTGTTGGTCTGAAACAACAGAACAAAATTTGAGTCTAGTGGCACCTTTAAGACCAACAAAGTTTAATTCTGGATATAAGCAGGGGTCGATTCGGGGGGAATCGCGGGGGATCGCCATTCCCCCGGGTGAGGTGCGGGGGGCGGGGCACACGATGACGCCCCGCCCCCTGCTTTCGGTCCGGGTAAAATGGCGATTTGACGCACCCTGTAAGTGCTCAGGGTGGACGGGTGTTCCTTACAGCAGTTTAAACTGTATTTTGGTCCAAAACGGCTTCCCCCAGGCAGGGGAATGACTGGCAGGCATCAAGACCCAAGAGAGAGTTGAGATTGGTGTGATCAAGTCTCGGAGGAGGCTTGTATTACACTTTGATCCCCTATCCCGAAGCAGGCGAGCGCATTCAGGGGGTGTGGCCTTATGACACACTTCCGGTGATGTTAGGGGGTGTGGCGTATGCTAATGAGTTATGCTAATGAGCTCCCCTAGCTCTTTTTCTACGAAACGACCCCTGGATATAAGCTTTCATGTGCATGCACAGTTCTTCAGAATTCTGGGTATAAACTTTCATGTGCATGCACAGTTCTTCAGAAGAAGTATGCATGCACATGAAAGCTTACACCCAGAATTAAACTTCGTTGGTCTTAAAGGTGCCACTGGACTCCTATTTTGTTCAATTGAACATTATGTATACTTTTATTCTATACTGATATAAATAAATTTAAGAGAAATTTAAATCAGAAGAGGCAACAAATGGTTTACAGATGTCTAGCATCAGTATTTAGTGTGAACAGAAGGGTATAGTTCCCTGCTCACTCCATAGCAACTGTCTTAATGTCCCAGGGATAAGTTTCCAATGTGGCCCTCTGAGAGTATTTTGAGAAAAAAGCATTTCTTTGGCCTTTTTCAGGACATGCTCAAATTAATGCAGAGTTCTTGGCATGGATTAACAACTGGAAAACAAGAGCTGTAGGTTGATTCAACAAGGACAGCCTTATTTTTGGTTTTAAAAAGTTGTCTGAACATTACTACTATTGCAACCACAATCAGAGGGGAGAAAAATCTTTTTTTAGTGAAGCAAACAGCATCCTGGTCAATGATTATACATTAATTTGTAATTTGACATACAGCCTTCATTTAATTTATATTTTAAAAGGACAAAAAGATTTTGCATAAACTAAGAATGCAAATATCAATAACAACAATAATAGTGTACTGTTAAGTCACAAATACAAAGTTCAAATATCAACAGATTAATAAAACATAAATATGCCTCTTCAAATGCAGAAATCATAGGCAAGCTAGAATGTAATACTTCATTTTAAATGTTAATGCAATTCAGTGATCTGTTTTACCAGATACATAAATCCATATAAATACATCAATGAATTTCCCTTGTCTATTTGTTTATAGTAAGATTAGTAATTTTCATAATTTGGAAAGTCTTATTAAGACTCTGGAAGATGTTGCTTTTTCTAATCTCTAGACAGCCAGGATATTTTATTTGTCAAATAAATGTGATATGCCGCTCATAAGAGGACAATAGAAAGCAGTATCACTGGGCTTCAAGTTGCAATCTTCAAACCATTTCCTTCAAACTAATCCAGTGGGAGTTTCTGATTTGTTTAAATGGTATGAAGATTGTATTCTCAAACAAAGAGAGTTCTTTTGTGATTTAAACAACTAAATCTTTCCTTTACCCTTTAGTAAGAATCCTCAGAAAAACAGACAATATACCCAGATCATAACTTACATTATATAAATCAGCAGCCAATTTTTCAATATACTGTTTCAGTTTATCAGCTGTTTTCAAGCCATCTTGGAAGAAACTATAACGGAAAATACCTGTGATTTATCAGCAATATATGAGTTGAATGTTTTTATAAACCACCAGTACTTCAGAAAGAAAACTGAACATCTTAATAAAAATCTAAAGTATACTGCCCACATGCCCTCCCCTGCAAATACGCAATGTATAATAAATATCTGCATATCATTTGCAAATCATAGTCATTACTTAAGATCATTAAAACTTACATTTTAATTTTTATTCACGCATACCTTTTCCTTATAAGTATCACCTAACTGGTAAGTGGCTCAGAGATGCACTGATTTTGGTCTTCGACACTGATTCAGTGTTTATGACTATACAACTATAAATACAGATTGCTGACTACTGAAAATCTTCCAACTTTGACTTCTCTATCAGTTCAAGAACGATACTGGCAAGGATGGAATAATATTGTGGACACAAAATTTAAGCAACTAGGCATACATAAAACAGGGAATTTAACATCTAAAATTAGAGCAGTGCTGCTCAACAGAAAATTAACGGCGCACGACTGGAATGCGTTACAAAGGGATGCCACACGGAAATGCTCACCACTTTATGTGGGGATTAAATACTCCATCAAATTTGACATACCACACTATTTGTACGTGCTATCTGTTCCTAAGTTGAGAAGAGCATATACGGTGGTATGCTGCAATGCATTCCCATCTGCACAGGGTCATTTTCAGGGCATTCCAGCAAGTAAACGCTATTGCGACTGCCCATTAGCAACTATAGACTCACTTGCCCATATATTTTTTTGGTTGCCCAAAACATGCAGTTGCGAGAGAAAAGTTCCTGAGGAAACGGCTATTAAAATTTTCTTCGTTTTCTGAATCTACAAGGTTGAGACTTCTGCTGAGTACTTTGTGCAATAATTGTATGATAGATGTGGCACATTTCTGTTATACTGTCTTTTTAAATGTTTAAAACCTTTTAAAAAGTTTAAAATCAACTTTTATTGCGTATGGCCTATAGGCTTTTAAACCTAATAAACTGTTTATGACTACACAAAATACTCACAGAGATGCATGATAAATATATGTGCCCAGTGAAAATACAAACCTGCATAAATCCCCTAGAATATCACAATGTAATCTTGAGGAATAGGTTTGCATCATCTCCACATTTTTTGTACTCTTAAAATCAGTATTGAGCTTGTACGCTCACTCACTTCATGGAGCAGGACGAGAGCACATGGCCTCAAGGCAAAATACATGAGGCACAGGTTGTCTGTGGGAGCGGCCACTCATTAACACAGGAAGCCCCGCCCAGCAGCAATCCAGCGCCGCACAGGGTCTTGCACTGCCCTTTGTCCATTTCAAGATCACAGCAGTTATATTTGGCTCAGGATGTGAACTATTCTGCTCAGTAGGGGGGAAAATTAGAGGGAACAGTGATGGGGTAAAGCAGGGGTAATTTCCTGCAGGAGCACACAGGAGCAGAGCTCCGGCAGTAAAGAGCCCAGGGGGCGGGCACATGCAGCAAGCCCCACCCCCTTCTCCCAGCAGCCTTCAGTCAGAGCAAGAAGCAGCCAGGTAAGTTGCAGAGCCCTTCCCCCTGGCCCCCTGGCCCAAAACAGTCCAGTGGCACCTTTAAGACCAAGTTTTATTCAGGTACAAGCCCTCCCTCCTCTGCCAGGACAGATCTGCGCGTCCCCCGTCCCCCCAATAGCTAGCAATCCAAAACAGTCCAGTGGAGCCTGAGTGGTGGGTGTTGCCTTCTGACACACTTCCGGTGACGTCAGGGGGTGTGGCATATGCAAATAAGTTATGCTAATGAGCTCCTGCACCTCTTTTTCTACAAAATGACCCCTGGGGCAAAGTACTGTTTGATATGACAGGGGCTAAACCGTTCCTTAATATCAGTTCAAGAAGTGCGGGGTTCAGGACTTCCGGTCAGCATGGCGCGGCGACACCGTTCCTTAATATCAGTTCAAGAAGTGCTGGGTTCATCAGATATATACCAGTTATCAGGGCTTTATTTTTGGAAAAAGAGGTGCTGGAACTGTCAAGTGGGAAATAAAGTTTTCAATTTGTATACTGAAAACTTGAACTTTTAAACATTTTTAAAAGAATTTTGTTGAAGAGGTTCTGGAACTCCATTCCGGCGTGTTACCCCCCCAAAAAAGCCCTGCCACTTATCAGCCTCTTTTACAACTATCTGTATGCCCTCTGCCCAACCCGTTTCACTGGAAGAATACATTTCTCTCCTCCCCCATTTGTCTTTCCAGAATGGTTCCCATTATCCTGTACAACACTGCCAAAATTTCGGCTGATGCTCACAGTACTCTGACAAACCAAATTTGTGGCTCAGCAGTCGAGCTTCTGCTTTGCCTGCAGAACGTCCGTCATTCAATCTCTTGTCATCTCCAGTTAAAAGTTGGTAGGTGATATGAAAGACACTACCTAAAATCCTGGAAGGCCGCTGACTGTCTGAGTAGAAAATACTAACTCTGATGGACCAATGGTCTGGTTCTGTATAAGGCAGTTTCTATAGCCCATATGAAAAAGTAAAAGTTGGCCTTCCACATGAAGAACTGAGCACCACTAATTACTTAATATGTATTGAATGAAAAGAGCTTTGAGGTGAAAGAAAGATTAAGCAAGGGCTCACCAGAAGGAGAAAAGAAGATGTTTTTAGTTTGAAAATGGAAGGAATATTTAAAATTTGCGAGCATACACAGTTAACACCATGTTTTGGTCCATCATAGCTCATCTATTTTTCTGGTGCAAGATGGCCTCATGTCAAGGCAATAATGTATTCAGTCAACAGAAGGCAGCGAACACCAGAGGAACACAAGGGCACTGATAGAACAAAATAATATCTAACACCCAGTACATAGGGGAGACATTATCACATCAAATAATAAAAGATATGTTATGTTTTATAGATTGTATCAAAATAGCAAAGTGATTATTATGTTTTTGTTTACATGCTTTTAATTAAATTTTATCATTGTTTTTCTATTCACTGCCTTGTGGACCCTGATTAGGTGGAAAGTTGGAATTAAAATGTTTTAAATAAATAATCATACTTACTTGCACTGTGCATGATAATATTTAATAAGATTCTGTAGAAGGTCCACACCTTTTTTTGTTTTAATTTCATTAACCTTAATGAGATACTGTAGAAAGAAAAAGCAAAGCTTAATAGATAATTATATATACCTCAGCTGCGTTCAAATATAGGTTCTATTTCAGATCTGTTTAACAAATTCAGTAATTATCTCAGAAGTTGCCTTGCAGCTGACATCTAAAGCACTCTAACAATACAGTGATTTTAAAAACTGTGTACAGAATAGCATAAGAACATAATAGAAGCCAATGTTGGATCAGGCCAATGGCCCATCCAGTCCAACACTCTGTCACACAGTGGCCAAAAATACCAGGTGCCATCAGGATGTCTACCAGTGAGGCCAGGACACTAGGAGCCCTCCAACCATTGCCCCCCCAAGCACCAAGAATACAGAGCATCACTTGCCCCAGAGTTCCTACATATGTCCTGTGGCTAATAGCCACTGATGGATCTCTGCTCCATATGTTTATCCAATTCCCTCTTGAAGCTGTCCATGCTTGTAGCCAACACCACTTCCTGTAGCAGTGGCAGTGAATTCCATGTGTTAATCACCCTTTGGGTAAAGAAGTACTTCCTTTTATCTGTTCTAACCCGACTGCTCAACAATTTCATGGAGTGCCGACGAGTTCTTGTATTGTGAGAAAGGGAGAAAAGTACCTCTTTCTCTACCTGCTCTATCCCATGCATAATCTTATAAACCTCAATCATGTCACCCCTCAGCTGTCCTTTCTCCAAGCTAAAGAGCACCAAGTGCTTTAACCTTTCTTCATAGGGAAAGTGGTCCAACCCTTTTATCATCCTAGTTGCCCTTTTCTGCACTTTTCCCAATGCTATAATATCCTTTTTGCAGTGTGGTGACCAGAACTGTACACAGTATTCCAAATGAGGTTACACCATCAATTTATACGGGGGCATTAAGATACTTGCTGAGAGGTCCTTTCCTAATCATCCCCAGCATAGCATTGGCCTTTTTTAATTGCAGTCGCACACTGTCTCAACATTTTCAGTGAGTTATCTACTATGACACCAAGATCTCTCTCTTGGTCAGTCTCTGCCAGTTTGGACCCCATCAACGTGTATTTATAGTCAGGATTTTTGGCCCCAATGTGCATCACTTTGCACTTGGCCACACTGAACCTCATTTGCCATGCTGATGCCCACTCGCCCATCCTTGACAGATCCCCCTTTGGAGTGCCTTACAACCCTCCCTGTTTTTCACTACCCTGAACAACTTCATGTCATCCGCAAATTTAGCCACTTCACTGCTTATAGATTAGCATTTCACAGTAAACTTGCATTTATTTGGAAGTAATTAAAACAGGGAAAACAGGGAATGTTGCTCTTTCCAAATGGTTTCAACCCATCTTTTGAAGTGATTTCTGAGAAGCATAACAATGATGCAATCACTGATGAAATTACCACAGACATATTAAAGGGCTTCTTCAAATATTTCCCTTTTATACGTAAAATATCATGAGAAATGAATATATTGCCTTTTGATCCCAAACATCTAACAATTATCAGCTTTCTTCATTTATATAATGTATTCTCCAATAGTTTTAGGACAGGCCCATCCTAATTCTATTTTGAAAATTTTATAAATTTTCTAGATTTTGTAACACTTCTATCTCCTGTCCACTGGAGAAAGTAACAGTCATCTTCTAACAGTTATCAAATTATAAACATGTAGTCATGGATCAGAAAGACCTAGGATTGCATTACATACATAAGAAACGCCAATGTTGGATCAGGCCAAAGGCCCATTCAGTCCAACACTCTGTGTCACACAGGGGCCAGAAATACCAGGTGCCATCAGGAGGTCCACCAGTGGGGCCAGGACATTAGAAGCCCTCCCACTGTTGCCCCCCCCCAAGCACCAAGAAGACAGAGCATCACTTGCCCCAGAGTCCCTATCTATACCCTGTGGCTAATAGTCACTGATAGGCCTCTGCATTGCCACTCAGCCATGATGTTTGCTCACTGAGTGATCTTAGGTCACTCAGTTTCACTCAGTCTAAGCTACCTCATAAGGTTGTTGTGAGGTTAAAGGTAAAAGGGGGAAGGTCCTGGCCTCCTTAGATGAAGGGTGGGATAAAACATGATAGACAATGGACAAAGTGTAAGGTACTGGAGATCAGGAGCCAACGGGTATGGAGAATGCTTCAAGGGTCAATCTACAGCAAATAAAATTTGTATCAAAAGAAATATATTTATTCTATAGTGTACATAATAATATAAAAACATAGGGCCTGAATATCAAGCTACATTAAGAGTCATCAAGAATAAGCTTTACATAAACTGCTACAATTTCTTATACAAAGTTGATGATAAATATCAAATGACCAACACAGGACAATATGTGTTTTAGCCTCAAAGACCTTCCTCAAGAGGTCAATAGTATATAACATAGTTTTATTTTAAAAAAGAAACCACATCCTGAAGATAAACAATATAAATCAATCCTGACCAGGTGATGTTAACTGATATTTCATATTGATCATAAATTTTGTATAGGAAGTTATAACAGCTTATGTAAAGCTCATTCCTGGTTACTCTTAATGTAGCCTGATATCCAGGCGCTATGTTTGTAATTATTTTATTGTGTACACTACAAAATAAATGTATCTGTTTTGATACAAATTTTATTTGCTGTGGCTCGACCCTTGAAGCATTCTCAAGTACAATTCGGGTTGAGTTTGCTTTCCCCCTTCTCCTTTGTTTGCCAACTGACATGGGTCAGGAAGCAGGCCAAAAAGGTAGCATGAACAAATGTGGCCTATATCTCGGTAAACAGAGATGCCAATATTTCAGTGCACCACTATATGGACTCTAGAGGGTGATCAGCAGTAGAAGCAGTCTCCTTGGAAAAATTTAGGTCTGCTTACGCATTAAAGCAATTGCACAATTGTTTTACCACTGAAACTCGGCTTAAATTCATCTCAGCCACATCTTACAATGTACGAGAATCAGCCCCAAGAGGAATGTAGGACCCAGATAAGATAAATAACTAGAGCTTTACTTGGAGCAAAAGCAATGATCTGCAAATATTGCTTAGCAGTCAATATACTATTTCCTTTCAAAGAAATTTCTTCACCAGGACTGACAGAGCACTTCATAGGAAGTAGGATTAAAAACGCTACAGTGATTACTTACTTCACACATCTGGAGCTGAAATAGTCGCCTTTCTTTTTCCATTTCTTCTGCTATCTCTGCCCCTGTGATCTCTGTTCGTATCATCCCATGTTGTTTTGCATGTTCCCGTTTTTCCTTTTCAATTTTTGTACTGTAATCGTAAGAACATAAATTCTAGAAAGGTGGATGTGATTTCAATAAACCTAGGAAAGTAGTAATTCTGGCAATACAGAAAATGAACCCATTTCACAAATGATAAGTACTTTATCACAAGTTTCTGCAACAGACAAATCAAGTTGAAACAAAGTTTCTCTCTTAGAATTATCTTGAGAAATGATTCTGTGATTTTAAAATAAATCAGATGATATATATGTGCAGGGCTCTTTTTGTAGAAAAAGCCCAGCAGGAACTCATTAGCATATTTGGCCACACCGAACAGCAGAAACGTATTAGCATATTAGGGCACACCCCCGACAGCACAACTCATTAGCATATCAGGCCGCACCCACATGTTCCCAGAAGTTTGGTCATCCAGCCACACC